TACAGATTTAAATTGTACATAACAGGGCCAGAAATATCACTATTTTTAAACAAGATACAGGTCGCATTAAATGCTTTCCTTTTCTAGTGCTTTTAAACTGAATTATTAATGGTAGCTTATTTTTCAGTTAAATATTTGGTAACTACAGAGTTAATTTTCAATTTATTGTACTTATGAAATAAAAATGAATAAATTAACATCATCATTTTTAATATTACCTAGTTCTAGTTTTTGAACAATTAGAATTAGATTATTGATTATTTTAAGTTTTTGTCGGCATGTTGCCTCGACGTCCCGAGTAGCGTAGCTCTTCCAAAAAAGTTTGAATACCTCTGGTTTAGATAACATCTTTTCTGCATTAATACCATTACAACAGAGTTATAAAGGTTTGCAAATATGATTTTTATGCAGCTTTCATGCAATTGTATGAAGTCTGTTCATGTATGGGCCCACTAGCGGTCAAGAAATAAGACAGCTGAGCACTTGTAGTTCGACTTGTGCTTCAAATCTCTGTGCAAGAATTGCCTGGTTTCGTGATTTGCCGCATGTATGACATGGATAAAAGCCAATTTCTTTTAAAAAGGCCTTTATGATGTCATCTCTTCCCTGAAGAAGATATTCCTCGTGTGCTTTGCCAAATCCCCATTTATAGGTTTAGAATGACGGTTGACAGTAACTTCTGAAAACATTTTCATTGGTGCATTCTGTTGGAAAACGTTCTTTTAAAGAAAATTGGTTAGTTAAGTTATTTTTGGTTAGTTTTAGTTACATGAAATTTATATGTAAGCTTTAACTTAGTCAAAGTGCTATTGTCACATTTCCTAAATTTGAGATCTTTAATATATTATTTTGAAGGAAAGAGATTAGAAAATAAAAATTATAGAAAACTCCATCAGACTTTGAAATGATAGAACTTAGGAGGGTATTTAATATTTTTGCATATAAGAATCTAAGACAGCCAGTTTTAATTTAATCACCTCCCGTATTTATTGTGATACGACCTAGAAATATGAAGTTATTGCAGTGTTTCATACTCATCGTGAATCTACTGGCATATGTAGGCTGAAAATAATATCTAATTTAATTCGAAAATAATTCTGAGGCATTTTAGTTACGAAAGGATGGAAATTTTGGTTTCAGTATTGAAAGTAGCATTAATTTCGACTTTTACATAAAAATTAATGAAACATTCATGCGAAAGTAACCTTTTGGGAAGTTTCTTGCATGATCATTGTTAAGGGATGGAATATAAGTTAATATATATGCATATATTTATAAGTAGCATACTGGAATACGAAAATACATTAAGGCAATGGAAATAAAGTTTCATACGTGAAACTAAGCGTATCTACGTTATTGACACTGATCGAAATAGTTTAAGAACTATAGAAGAATTAGTGTTCTTCAGATTCTAAGCAGAAAGTTGGGGTTTTGCTTTCCAGTAATTGGGTTTTGAGTCTCGAATGGAGAGTAATCCATAGGCGTCGATGCAAAGCAGCTGAAAAACAAAATTAATATAAACTAAAATGCGTATATTTACTACACTACTGAGGATTCAGATTCTCTATCGAGAATACATATGCCAGAATTCAGATTTATCGTAAGAAAAGTGATTCCTTTAAGCATATACTATTGCTAGTTAGCTTTTAGTTTAGAAAATACAAATCTGATTCTCCAGTAAATGTTTAAAATAACTACACAGGCGTTTTCTGCTGGTAATGGAACTGGATTGCTGCCTTAGTGTTTAATTAACACTAGAGTAACATATCAGAGCTATAATACAACATTTTGGATATTCGAGTACATAGCATGAAAGGGGTATAAGAAAGGAATGCTTTGTATTATAAAGGAAGGAATAGAAAAATACGAAAAGGCCCTTTCTTGAGCAAACATGTCTGCACACACGCGTGAGATAAACCAAAAAAGCCACATACAGCCGAACTGCTTTGCCTCCGCAAATTAAAACGAACTACCAGTATTTCTGGGTTTTTGAGTTAACAACTAGGTCACAGATGAATTATTCTGCAAAGAAATTTCTTATGCATAAAATCTTTTCTTTTATATAAAACCGGTTCTATTTCGCTCTTATTTATTACAAAATAATTATTTTCAAATTTTTTTCTTTCTGTTTTGAAAGGCATATAATTTATTATCAATCAGATTAAAATTAACTGCTTTCGAATGGCAGAAATGAACTAAATTAACCCATTTTATACAAGAGTTAAAAAATCAGAATGATTTTTTCCCATTTAAAAAAGGAAGAACATGGAAAGAAAAACGTTCATTTTCATTTCAAAGGAAACGAAAACAAAAGAGTATAAGTAAGCTTCTGGCTCATAAGTAAGTTTTTCTTTCCATTTTTTGTAGTAAATTTACTTCTAATTAATTTCGTGTATTTCAGCGGTACAATACTTTGCTTAAAAGTTTGGCAGCATTACAGGAACGTAATTAATATACAGCTTTTTCACAGATACGTATTTTTATCTCTTCTGCTGGAACAAGGAAAATGCTGGAAAAAATACTGATAACCACAGACAAGCTGCTATATTTCAATGAAATCAAGTTATCTATCTTATTTATATACTATTTTACTACCCGTTGTGGTCCTTAGGTAAAGCTGTTTGATTTATACACTCATGGGCAAACAAATTAGCGCACCAAGAAGGAGTCTTCAAAATGAAACGAAATTTTACATACGTAATGACTACTTTAAAATATGTAAATGATAAGAAATCAAAGAAAAAGGATAATTTATTTCAGAGAAAAAGGCAAAAGAACGGAGGAGTTAATACTCCGTTGGACCCCCTCTAGCGCGAATGCACGATGCGGCACTGAGTCATAATATCTTGAGATATTTCGTTCCATATTTGCTTTAACCTTGCCTCTAGTTCGTTCAAACTCAACTCATGCCCAACTCGTCACCCCAAATGATCCCAGATATGCTCGATTGGAGACAAATCTGGGGATCGGTTAGGCCAAGACCAAGGAAGGGTAGTAACAGTGCGGAGACAGTCTTGTGACACCCTTGCCGTATGAGGCCGAGCATTGTCTTGTTGAAAAATGGCTCCTGGGAGCTGTTGCATGAATGGCAATACATGTGGTTGCAGGATTTCATAAACATACCGCTGGGCTGTCATGGTGCCACGGAACAATACTAGGGGTGACCGTGTATTGTAGGCAATGGCACCCCATACCATCACACCAGCTGTGGGAGCGATGTGTCGCTGTACAGCAAAGGCAGGATTGAGGCGTTCACCACGGGCTCTCCACACACGAACACGATTGTCATCACTGCCGAGATTGAATCTGGATTCGTCGCTAAAGACGACCTGGTTCCATTCCGATGCAGTCCAGTTTCCTCGTGCTCGACACCACTCCAAACGGAGGCGTCGATGGGTGGGCATCAAGGGCAGCACACGTAATGGGCGCCGCGATACCAACTGTCCTTCAGCCAGGCGCCTTCGTATGGTTCGAGAAGACACAGGGGCCCCTAGTGAAGTGCCTGCCTGTGCCTGGATGGCGGCAGATGAAGCAGAAGCAGTTGGCTGTACGCGTGCATTTCTTACGATGTGGCGGTCTTCTCAACGACTGGTCTGTCGAGGGCGTCCCGAGCCTGGTCTTCGTGTACATCTCTCGGGTCCACTGGTCCCAACACCTCCTCACAACACAATCAGCGCGGCCTAATGACGAGCTACTCGCCTAGCTGACCACCCAGCTTCCATCATCCCGACGATTCTCCCCCTCTCAAACTGCGACAACTGCTCATATTGTCTTCGAACACGGCGTAATGGCATGTCTACCTCAGCTCTTCCTTTGTAAATGATTCAGCACACTCAAACAAGCTTTGGTTACCTGTTTTATACTCCACAGAGTACGACGTTCAACGCCCTCTACCGGCTATACGTAATGCGCAATCACGCTGCATTTCTAATCATTTGCATATCTCCCCGACATGTACCTTCATTGCAAGTTTCGTTACGATCCCGCAATTATTTCTTAGTGCGCTAACTTTTTTGTCCATTAAGCTACATTGTTTAATTAAATATGCCAGTTCACCTCGGCAATCATGTATAGCACTACCTTCTGGATAAAATATTCTTGCTATGCTTTAAAACTGACAGGGCATTCAGTTTCACACATTTAGACTAGTTTTGAGCTTATTGCTTTAAGTATTGATTTACAAATCCCAATTTGAGTATGGAAGACACTTTCCTTAACAATGACGTGATAAATTTATGAAACAAATCTTTCTTATCTTCATCCTAAGAACTCATAATATTGGAAAATTGCATTTCTGTATCTTCGAATTTTTTTAATACCACCTTCAGTCTTTATACTAGTCTAAGTGAAAATTCATTCCGATTTTTTATATTAGACATGTAAATTATGCAATAAATTTAAATGCATAAATTCTAACTCCCATAACAATATAAATGAGAGATTTTATTATTTAAATTTAAAAATTATTTTACCAACATATTTTAATTTTTGTCTCCTGAAACTGGGGAAAAAATTACCAATAATTCAGAACCGAAACTAAAACAAACTTTTATCTTTTAACCAAAAATATATCTTATTGAATAATAGAGATTCAATCACAACGATATGAATAATTACGGGTTCAATGTCTGCTTAATAAGAATGTTTCATATTCAAAGAATGCCTTAAAACAAAATAATAAAACAATAACATTTAAATTCTTGCACTTATGCTTGAGGAAAATTTTATATATATATATAGAAAAAGAGAGAGAGACAATTTTTAATACAGCTATGACGATAAAATAAATTATAGTAAATTATGATAGAATTAATTAATACTATATTTTGATGGTAGAGTAAATCAAATATTATGTTTTAACTAATTAGGTGTATTGCGATAAGTGTAGTTTAATTTATAAAACAAAGAGTAGTGCAAATAATATGATATATATATATATCTTTGTAGGATATGATATGAGGATATACATATATATACTCACATTAAATATTTATATTTACCTTTCATAGCTGAAGTTAAATTTATCACGATTATTATTTACAAACAATATTATCCGCTTGACACACTTTTTCTGGTGGTGCAAGAAACAATCGTCCGTTCTCACAAGCACAGAGTTGATATATACCAGGATAAGACCGACCTCTTGAAGTAGGAATTGCTGTTTTAAGGTTTCTTAGCTCAACCCGCTCGGAATCAAGCCATATCTGCAAAAAAATAGAATAAATATTACATAGGAAAAATTTGCTGTAATTCTGAATGATGTTTAAGTATGTAGTCCTTTAATTAATTTTCCATGCATGTATAGAATATAGATAAACTGGATATTTACTGCATAACTTCAGTTATTCTCTACTTCAGTAAATCCCTTTGCGATCCTCCTCCCTAATAAGGATTGTAGATGTTGCGCCCGTTTTTGTTCACTGAGAAGATCAATCATGGCAATACTGATGACTAAATATTTAAACCGTATGGTTACATTATCACTCTTATATTCACCTAATATTGAACTAAATATTTTTCTTACAAGATGCTAGTAGTATTCTATTTATTTGAAATAATATATATATTCTTCGAAATAAAGTTCAGTTGTGTTCACATTAAGTTGTGCTTTAGTCTATTTTCATCACAGCATCTCCCTGCTTAATTCATAATGAAATTTTACATGACTTTGTAAACTATGCTATTCCTTTTAATATAAAATGTTATTGTTAATAATTAAATATAATTTTATAGCCCTTTGATATATAATTTATTTTTGATGAACCGTAGAGAAACTTGTTATGATCTTCTAAAATGGACCTTCGTAACGTGCTTGTTTTGTTCAATTAATTACTTAGATCGCAAGGGAACACTTTTCAGTATATTTAATGGACAGTGGCATTTCGTTACTTTGCAATGGAAAAGACGAGTATGTTATGACACGTTTATTAGGAAAGTCTTTTCTATTTCTAACGTAATATTTACATCATATTTATAGTGGAGCGACTTCATTTTATTTCTAAAGAACTATTACGTATTTCGGCTCATATTTGAGAAACTTTATATTGTCCCATGTTCAGAGCTTTTTAGCGTCCAATTAAAATAACAGACAAATTTGAATTTAGTTCTGAGTTATCAATTTTCCATTCAGGGGTACCCAATTAGTTGACAAGGTATGGATTCCCTGGAAAATGCTTTCCCTAGAATGAAATACATCACTTTTTCATGAGTCAAACACTACGCTATCTTTCATTCTATATATGCATTAAATATACTTATTACTACAGCAATACATAATGTTATGCTGTCGATTCCTGGTGAAATAGATAAGGACTTATCTTTTATTGAGAATGTAATATACATCTTTATTGCAATGAGTGAATTATAACTTTATGTCGCAGTTTAAGAAGCTATTTTAAATTGGACATTTGACGATTTTCTTAAACTGATATTCTCATTCCCTTTCACATCGGGTGCAAAATTAAAAGAATTTTCACATTATGTTGAATTTCTAAAACTCTAATGGACAGATTTTAATGATATTCAGTATGAATGTACATTTATAACAGAGAAAGAGATGCACCATTCAAAAGGCAATTTATGTACGCATAATTAAGAGTAGATCTCATAGTGCAGTGATGGCAAAATCCACATTACAATATCGAACTAAAAATGAGTCTAATGTGGGATACGGTCTTGTTTTAAGCCAGACAGGCCACGCAAAGTGACAGCACACTGGACAGAAGGCAATTGAGCCCTGTGCAGCAGATCACACTCCTGCAGTAACACAAAATTCAAGTCCGGGATGGTTCTCGATTGAGGATGGCGATATAAAATTGCCCTCCCAAGAGCTTTCCAGACACACTCTGTTAGGAATAAGGTTTGGGTAATCCATGAGGCGTATATTCTCACTTTCTAGGTAATCGTCAACCAGATCCGCCTATGTGGATGAGCATTGCCGTCCATTAACAAGACCTCAGGGCCAACTATATCTCTGAAACGTCGAACATAGGTCTCTAGAATCTCCTCTCTATACCTCATACTAATCAAGGAGCCTTTATCAAGCACATGCAGGGGTACGTGGCGGTTCAACGTAATCGGCCCAAACCTTTACATCTACTCTACAAAAGTCTGGCCCAAGCCGCATGTTGTCTGCACCATGCTAAACGAGCTCTCTTGTGTACTGGAGTGAGCGGAACGGAAACAGCGGTTCTTCTGGCATACAGCCCTATCTCACGAAGTCTTTAGAAACTATAGACCGTGAAATTTGGCGTTTCAGTGATAGCATTCAGCTCATGTGAGAGTTATAAAGCTGCCGCAGTGCTGTGTCGGTCCGCTGAAAGTGCCAAATAACTATATTCATTCATCGTTATGGATCTTAGTCGACCTTGCCCAGGTCGTTTCGATATATATCCAGTGTTCTGAAACTGTATCGACAAAATGCAGACTACACTGGATGTTACACCGTGTTCTGTAGCCACCTGCGCTTTAGATTATGCTGCTCCAATCTACCGGTAATTCTCCATCACATTCCGTCATTTATACGTTCTTGGCTACTCATTTCACCTGATACGTTATAAAATTTGTCTAACTCGTCCGAGAAACATGGTGAATTTCGTGAAGGATTACGAGCACACATATCGCCGAAACGTCATCGTACGCTTATGTCCCTTACACAATCACAATTCCGCAGACATGAACGTGTACGCTTACGAATTCAACTCTGAACATTTGCATAATTCGTCGGAGAACGTATTCGTAGAAACATATTAGATCAAAGAAACTAATTACATTTAGTTTCTTTGGTCTAATAGGTTTCTTGAAAACATATATAATTTGAAAATTCTCTTTATTTTGCAAGTTTTTAATAAGTAATCATGTTGTTTAATGCCCTATTTACGAGTAAAATGAAGGTGTCTTGCACTTAACTTCGACACATTAGAGAGGCCAAAAGTATTATATCTCTCCCAAGTAAAGGATCACAATTCCTTTTAATGCTTCTTTTTATTCAGTTATAGTCTTTTATTTTATTAAACAACACTTTAGCTGCGTTGTAAAACTTTTCATTTTTAAACACGCAGCAGTTTGTTTTTCCATTTTCAGGAAAAAATAATTGGTAACTTAAGATATGATACATAATCTGCTTGGGGAAATATGATGACATTTTGGTGCGTGTTCTAATTTTTAATGGCTTATAAATGAAATTTTTAGAAAAAATCTACTAACCGCCCCTTCTTTTGACTGCAGTTTAAGATCTTTGAGACATGATGCACTGATATCTCCTGCACGGGATTCAATACCAATTCCTTCTGGAGCTTTAACGTGTAACGTTCTAGTTGGAGATTCCAACCTGAAAATATAGGAAAAAGTCTAATTAGCATTATTATTATTTATTATAAGAGTCAGACTAGAAGAAAGAACGAAATTATTGCACTAAAGGTATTTAGTTACTTGTTATAGTATTTTTTCCATAGCTATAGATCTATAGCCATAAAAATGCCAAAATTAAAATAAATTGTAACTAAAACTAGTATTTAAAAGGAAGGAAACATTTCTGAGATTATCAGATACTTATGCAAAAGTTAAAATAGTCGGTAGAGTAATTTAAGTAGATATCTTCAAATATTAATTCTATCCCAACTCCGAAAAACATGGTGGTTAGTGAAGGCTAACCGCACACACCTTTGGAAGCAGATTTGAATTCTGAAAAAGTTTTTACACTTCATATTTTTAACTGAAGTGTCTATGTGAAATTGAGGGATTTCAGTCTGTAGATTAAGAACTTCTTTCGAGAGGTTATTGGTAAGGGGAAAGATTAAAAGACTCAGATTGCCTCACCTGTGATTCTAACGATCAAAATTGGGCTTCAGCTTAGGTAAATAATAGTTATATTTTCGAATAAAGAAAATAATACAAAGGAAGCTTAAATAAATCAGAATTAGCAGTTCTTTTATAGAAATAGCTACGAATTATTTACAGAATCACCGAACAATAAACGCTACTTTACTATATTTGCTTTCTAAACGGTAAAATATCTGAACGTTTTGTATTATTAAAGAAAATATTTTAAATAGAACCATTTACTGTCTAGCCTATGGGTCAGAATAAACAAACTGCCACATTTAGCTGAACATATTAAAGCTGTAATTATTTAACCTACTTTGGCAAGTAATTCCTTATTATTAAACTTCATCGAATCTATAAGCATTGCATTAAATTTTCCTTAAATTATGCAGTTTGGGACTTTAGTATTTCAGTTAGTTAATAACGCCTTGCTTTGAAGTTGACATAAATAACGCAGCCGCAAGATATATTTGCTATAGTTCAAGAAAGGTCAAAATTTCAGCCTGTTAGCGGTAGTATTTCATCCTAGCGGAGAAAGAAAATAAATTAAATGTACCTATAATTCATCATCAATTCAGAGAACTCATTTATTTGAAATTCAAGATAATTATGAATGAAAATGCTGCCCATAAAATTTGATGCGATGGCTTAAATTTTCGATCGCATTCATTCGATAAATTACTTTTACAAATCCCCCGTTAACAAATTTTCTCCCATTTATTGGAGAAACACTTTTCTTTGCAATAAATAACAGAAGTATTACACACACACACATATATATATGCTACAAACTTTCATTCAAGTACAATACGCACCTAAACTATGTAGAATATATTTACAGACGATTCCAATTCTTTGTACCAAACATTTAAATATAAGTTATTTCAGTTATCCAAGTCCTAGATAAAACTACATATTTAAGTAATTCCAGGAAGGTTCATTCCAGTTCTGTAAAAAAGTATTTAATCATATGATGATATTTCATAATGCTCTGTTTCCAAGAGTCGATAATGCTTAGAATCGACACATCATAATGTCGACACGGCGAAGAACCGACATGGCACAGGATCAACACGGGAATATGACATCGACATGATAAAACCGTAGGATCGACTCCGATGTACAATCAGTATTGACATAATGTATTGACATAATTAACAACGGCGACAATCGAGAGAAAGGGGAATTGAATTAAGTTATCATTTTTTAAGTTATCTACATAGAATCGATCCTGCTACATAACCGAAAATGATTTTTGAGTTTCCGTGTTGATCGCGTGCCGGCAAAGAGAACAATATTTCAAATTAAAATCCCTAAAGGGATAAACTGTTGTTGGCTTTTCCCGCGTCGGGGAGAAATACAATAAAGAATATTAGTAAAGGCTTTAATTGGATGGACATGTAAATTGATCCTGCACTATGCCGCCTTAGCATAATTACATTTAATACTTATCATGCTTGTGTCTGCTTACAAAATAGAACAAAATCATCTTACGTGGAGTAAATGAAACACCTCAGAAACGAGGTCACAAAAATGATGGTGACCTTCGGACGGATTAAAAAGTTAACCTGGTGATGGAATGTGGATTATCCTCTGACCTGGAAATTTTCTGATTCACGACCATGTAATTAATGTATCTGTTTATAATAAAGAATAAAATGACCTTGAGTGGAGTAAATAAAACAGCTCAGAAACGATGTCAAAGATGGCAATTTTGTACTGCATCTGAGTACTGAATTCCGCATCTATGCGCTTTCTTAATATTGAAACTTCATTTCAAGATTAAAAGAGAAATATTTCTTTATACTTTTTTTTAAGTCTGGACAAACTTTGCATATTTGCTAATGAAATTAATTAAAGTTTACTCATTTTAAACACTTTAATTTAAAGATTACAATAAAATATAACGAAATCTTATTGAAAGTATTTTCAAAATGTGCGAAAAGGTATCTTACCTGAGTTGTTGGAAGGGTTCTGCTCTTACAAATGGAGTTTGGACCGAGCCTTCAAAGCGAATTCCCCCAGATCCTAGTTAAAACATAAATAACAACATAAACAGATGTAAAATGGCACGAAGCATCGCGCAAAAATAACAATTAAAATCAAATAAAATAAATGAATAAAAAAGTGTGACTAAGTGAAACGTTTTTAGCAATCGCAGTAGTTAGGTAGCGCGATTTTATCTTTGTGGGATCAAACTAGGATGAGATATATTTAATTAACCTTTTGGAACGCACATGAAAAGATTACCTATGCTAAGATTTTAAGCGAAAATTAGCTAATTTTGCATATTACATAATCACCTTTTCTAAGACTTTTTATCGTAAGTAGGGTAAGGAATAATTTTCCAACTCGAATTTCACCTGTAAAATGACCGTATAAAAATAAATAACAAAATTCAATATATTTTTCGTATCTATGATTAACAAAATCTGCATGGTCAACAGTTCAGATTTTGAAAATGGTATTTTAATTTTAATTGGATAAATAAAAATAATTGAATAGATTTATGGTATGATGAATAAATTTATGAAATAAATAACGCATATATTCCCTTCGAATACTTACTTACTTAATTTAATTAATATAAATGTTAATTCGTGAAATAAAAATCCCAATTAAAACTAAATTTTAATGTCAGAAAATCAAAAAAAGTAATCTTATGTAGACTAGTTAACTGATTCATTGCATAATTATATTCGCATCACGCATCTAGTTTCTAAACACATACACATTTGGATAGCTATTGCTTAAGATAGGAGCAAATATAACTTCTATAGTGTTAAATTTTATAAATTACCAAAATACCCATTTAAAGGATGAATTTTAAGGAATTAAAATATGTGAAGCTTAAAACTGCCGCATCTGTTCAGGTGTAGAGGCAAGTAGAACTAATAATCGTTTTCTATTTTAAGTGAATTTTCACCGCTTTAAGAGGCGATGTTAAGCCCATTTTAACTTTATTCCTTAAACCTAACACATTCCTTCCTACATACTTCCTGGCAAGTGAATGACTTTGAAGATTATGAATAGACATGCAAATCAAGGGACTCAATTTCAATAAGAATAGTTCCGCAAATGATCACCCAGTGATAGGCGGGCCTTCCTGCTGTTCACTCCATACACTGACACAGATAAGCCCTGTAAGTTCTTTGCTCAATTTATGGAATTCTTATTCGCAGAACTCGACGTTAGGAATTTGCAATAAAAGGAGTGATTGGTCGGCATTCACAGCTTCCAGATTTCATCTATGTGATAAGAAGAGGGTTCATTTTTGGTTTAAAATGCGCTCTAGCTCGTAAATTACAATACGTTTTCCTGGACGAGGAACTATCGCTGGACATAATTTTACTGAGAGTAAAAAACGATTTAAAAGCGTAATTTAGAAATGTGCCTTTAAACTGGTACCTGCTTGAAGTCTTTTATCCCACTCATTTCTTTTCAAACATGAAGAAAAATGTATTGAACATGTGCACATGTTTAGCTTGGTTTGGTTAATTATTTTGAGCAAAATATTCAAACTCTTTCTGTTACTGGGAGAAATGCTGTCATAGAGGATTTTTTAACATTTTTGTGTGTTAATTTTTCCTTTTATTCTTGGTAGTCTATACTAATATAATAAATTTGCATACAGTTATACACAGAGCGCACAATTTAATAGCAGTAGTTTCTGTTATTATTACTATTTTAACTGTTACTTTTTAATTTCAAAGAAAATTTTGACAAAATCACAATCGCTCGGAGACACCTTTCATCAAAATACTTTTGACGGCTTGAAAGAAATTACCTTTTATCGACACCTTTATTCTGTTAATAAAATTCCATTACGAATGTTCAAACTTATAAAAATGCGTAAAATAATGCCAATAATGATAAATGAAATAAACTATATCTTTGCTCGCTTAACATCATTACTGGCTGGAATACAGCTGATTATCTCTAGCTTTCTGCACAAAAGCCTTGTTTATCACGAATAATTAGTCCATCAAGTAATGTAGGGTAAGCAAAATCTTATGGCGTATATTAATGTAAGCAATTATCATTCTTCCATCTGTTAATCTAAATCTGAAGCTAAAAGTATATGAGCTATATTAAAATTTAACTGTCCTAATAATAACCTTATTCATAAAATTAACGAAAATCAATTATTTAATAATTTTTAATATGTAAACAATTAAGTTATATTTTTACAATGCCAAATAGAATGTTTGTAAGATTTGTTTGTTCTTGGCTCTTTCGTCTTATCATGCAGTTTGAGATAACTGGGAATGATTTAGCGAGATAACAGCGGACTTCGAAGCTTTATTCCGTCACGCACGGATCAGCATCAGCATTTTCTTAGCATACTCGGTATGAATAGAAATAATTTATTTTTAAACTTAGTGTTTTACTCATTGATCTAGTTTGTTTGATAATTAATCACGGAATCTAAGAGCAATTTTTTTTCTATTAACAAGAATGAATCCTTTCTTCCTTACAGCATTGATTCTCGGTTTCACAGACATTATTGGAAAAATAAACTGGAGGGGGGAATTACTGTTAATTAAAACCTGATTAACAAATCTTGCTAATGAAATTAACTAATCCTTAAAACTAAATTGTTGTTCAATATTAGCAGTATTATTAAATTGTTGTTCAAGCTTATCATTCTGTATTTAATGGATTATTTAGATGATGACAAAGCACGTAAATCTCTCTCCTTAAAAAGGACGGACGCCTTCATGTAGGATATTTTAAGAGGAAAATTGGTCTGTATTCACGTTCGACATAGAAAAAACCCACAAAATTTAGATGCCACCAGCCTGTTTGTCTATATTTGAACCTGGTCGAATTACCAGGGTTCAGTGGTTTCACACATTCATCTCGGAAAAACTGTAGAAAAAATTGAGTAGCCTGGAAAAATCGAATTAAATAAAATATATTGTTCATAATTCCCATTAAACAGTTTTGTTTTGTAATATGCTGTTGCATATTAGTAAATTTGAGCTTAATACACCAAGATTTACATTTAATTGAGACATCTGGATTTAAGGACAAAATTTAATTTGCTAAAGTGCCTTCTTCTATATGAAACTAGAAAATACAAGTGAAAAAGTGATCGGTCTTTAGATATATTTAGTCTATATCCGTAAATAACTCCTGCACATTTATGAAACCGAATTTTTGTTGAAATATTTTTTTTCTTGACGCTTGGAATCCTAAGTTATACGGCAAAGCTTAATAAATACAAGATGAATTAGACACCTGTTGAACAGATTTCAAGACCTCGTGTAAGCATGTTACATTGATACGCTTATTAGCAAGTCCCAATGAGCCATTTAATATATTTAATTATAATTATATATATATATATATATATTATATTTTATATATATATCTGATATGTATGCGTATATAATGCACACACACACACACACATATATATATATATGATGTAGTTTTGGTTATATTTCTCCATTGTTTAAAACATGTAACTGCATAGTTTAAATTTTGTAAGTGCAGATTTCCCCCATTGTGCTATGCCGAGTTCATTACATAAGTATTAATTTCTAAGGACATATCCTTGATTGATGCAACACTGGGAGTGCTATAAGCGCACAATAATTTCTATATACTCAGCTTATATTTTAAACAGCAGAAAAAATACAGCTAAGCGAGAGGTGACTTTCTTAGGAATAAGCAAGCAGCAAAAGAGAGTGCGTATATCAAGTATTTATAATCTTAGCTTTAGTTTAATTCTACACATGGATTGGGCAAGAGGTTTCGCATTGCGATTACTGCAAGAAAAATGCAAATGCTTTGAAGGGGTTTGTATTATTTTTTAAAGTAGGAATTTAATGGTCTGGTGTCAATTAAGTGTCTTTCATATTCTTTTACACATGCAATATATATATATGTTAAATAAAAATAAAGCCTATAACATATAATTACACACACACATATATATATGTGTGTAAGATAAAATTATATGAATCAGAATTATAATATAACTATAAACATTAATTCTTCCTCTCTATTCTAAAATCGTAATAACTTCTCTGCATTGCGTCATTTCTAGATCACTCTATGTCCCGCTGTAATGCTAATTCACTGATGATTTCCTTTTGACTAGGCATTCGAACTTCTCAATTTATCGAGAGATTACTTTCAATCTGTAAACACTACGCGTGATTATTTTTTTGAAGCACTTGCAAAACACCACAGCAGAAGAATGATCTGTTACTTTTTAAACACTGAAAAAACAAACTTGATGATTTATTTCTTTCACATTATCTCTGGATTTATCACAAAACGATGATTTGAAGAGCTGAACTAAATTTTCCATTGAGGTTTCAGGCTTCAGGAAACTATCCTACCGGGGCTTAATTGTCATAATAAGAGCAAATCAAAGACGGAACACTGTAGATTCGTGATTAGACCCATATTGAAGAAGATTTTGATTGCGTAGTATGCTAGTAATGCTAACTTGGTAATATCTAAAGAACTTCGCAGTCGAGGCAGTTTTAATTCCATTTGTATTTGCAACTGATATTTGTGGCCACAATCACTTGGCACTCTAGTCGTGCCTTTCCACAGAAGATTTACATCTTTGATATTGTTGAGATAGAAAGCAAGCCAGCGAAATTACATCTTAGCACAGTAGAGAGCAAAGCTGAAGTGCGTAGTTATGAAAGATGGAAGCACGGCAAAGAGAAAAGTTCTGGTTTACAATGGCAGTTTCAGTTCCCAGTTATTACGTCATCAGAGCTGCGCGGGCCATAGAGTGATCTAGAAATGACGCATTGCAGAGAAGTTATTGCGATTTTAGAATAGAGAGGAAGAATTAATGTTTATAGTTATATTAATAATTCTGATTCATATAATTTTATCTTAAGATGTAAAATATAAAAATAATACGATGGCTTTGCTCTTTGCGAACCAGCAATCTTTAATTAATTTTCTGCGATTGATATTCGTGACCACAATCAGTTGGCACTCTAGTCGTGCCTTTATTTAAAATTATGCTAAAATTAGAGCCCCATTAACAA